TATAAACACCAGCCTGGATGTAAAAGACGTAAGTTTGTCCAGCAAACCAGTCGGCAAGTCGACCCCATGACCCTTCTGTTGAGCTTAAACCCTGTAGTTGTAACCACTTTCACGCTATGAGTTCTTTTCCAAATCTCTCCTATTGCTTCAAATTTCTTCGAGCTTATCCAGTCCTTCGGTTGGAGTCTGTACAGCGTTGAGTAATCCAAATCACAGATATTACCCTCCACGACTTCAAATGGATGCGCTTGAAGAACGCGTTTAAGAACTTCTTCTGCTTGTTTCTTTTGGACGCGTACAGCCTTCAACCACTCCACTAGTATCTTGCCCATCGCAACAGCCTCTTTCATTGTCCATACCCTCTGCAGGCAGTCGACATGATAAAGCGAAAAACTGCCAATACCGGTTATCTTGACGTATGGGGGCCCTTCATCGGTATTACTTGGCAACGGAACTGCGCCAGACTCGTAGATTGCACCTAACGATTTCTTCACTAATGGAGCAGGCACAACAGGAACGGTAGAGCAGCGCTCAGAATCGGCTTCTTATCACCACCAATTTTTGGATGCGTGCGGGCAGCACTCTCATATTGTACTGGATAAACATCCAGCAATTCCAAAATATCAGTAAAACTGTTGTTTATGTCGCCAAGGATGCGCGCAACAACCCCGACGTCCTCGAATGATAGCGATCCGCCTTTATCCAGTCTTGCATTGAGCTTCTTACGCGCTGTGGCTCGTATTTTGGGCGTTTGCGCAGCAGTTGTTTTCGGTCGCCCAGCCCGCCGCACCTTCTTGCTCAAATTGTTGGGCTTGGGTGGATTTTCATCTTGTACATCAGGTGTATCAACAGGATTTGTAACAGGATTTACAACAGGATCCGTAGCAGGTTCTTCATCAGGTTTCATTACAGGTTTATCTTCATGCTCACTTCCAGGTATTTCATCACGTTGATCCTCAGGATTTTCTTCTGGAGTTTCTACAACTCCGTAATCCGTGACCTTGCCTTCATCTTCATTTCTGTCGTCTCCATTCCCAGCTCCATCCCTATCGTTCAACGAAAGCAAGGCAGATTCATGACATAATATCTTTGCAGATTGCGTACCAGGTTTCTCCACAAATTCAGCTACAGGTTTTTTCACAGGTTCAGCTACAGGTATCTCTACAGGTTGCAAACCGGAGCGCAGTCGGCGCAGGAAGTCTTTCAGATACTCCATCTCATTGCTGAAAAGACGCATCAGCAAGTCAGCCATCTCTTGTGCTACACGGTTTAGCAGATTCCATGATATGCTGTACTTTTGTCAGTTATCCAGCACCGAATCTCTGATAGGTCTGGTAGTCTTTGAGTTATTGAAAACATCCACGTGTGGCAAGCTTGTAGAAGACAAAGAATTCTTAATTAACCATCTCGAGTAAATGTACGACACTGGAATACACGGAACAAGTCCAGCACAGCGGCGAAAGTAAATCACATGGCGGCATGGAAGCTTGAGAGTCGTCGAAAAATCACAATCACAAATCCAGTCAGCTTTGCTAAACGAGTATCTTTTCAAACCCCGCTCCACTTCCACTGTGCTGTCAGCCGTTGCGCTAAATGTGTACAACCGGACCGCGACGTCGGAGATAGCGAGCTCATACTCAGCGTAGATGCTACTCAAGGTGTACACAGACGTAATACCAAATTAAGTTTTTGATGGTAACCGTAATGTGTATACGTCCCCTCAAACGACACCCTCGCCAGACTTTCGTTATCGCAGCGACGCTGAGTTCGAAGAAGAGACTCCAGACAATCCTTCATTGTACAACTACCGTCAAGATCGAGTTTGATCTTTCCAAAGCTCGACTCGATACGGTTGTTCGTATTGTACGAAAATGCGGCAATGTTTGACGTTTGTAATGTGTCCACATATTCTTGCTTTCATCCCAGTTTTCACAAAAGTAATCCCAAAACGACACGTTGCCTTGAGCGCAAGAAAACTGCTCTAAAAGAGAGAAATTCTTAGCGTAGTCCTCTTCGGAAGTAGCGTCCACCAAGTTAGCGAAGAGAAGACCCATGGCATCGTCTTCACTTGGTGAATAACGCCCGAAGCGCGCCTCACGAACAACGCCACGTAAAACCTTCAACACATGAGAATGGCAGAGCAAAACCGTCGCGTCAGGAATAGCTTCACGGATTACAGAAATCTCCGTCAAGTCTTTATCGACCATCACGACACGGAGTGCGTCCCATCCAACGTTGGCAGTCTTGAAGTGAGTAAGAGCTTTGCGCATGTGCCAGTCGAAATTCGTTTCAATTAACGAATGCTGCACGAATTGCCCTTGTCCAAATGCATCCATAACCATTAAACTGCAAAGTTGGTAGTCATATCTGAAGGTACAAACGTGAACTGGATTCGTAAGGATTAAAACCTGGTTTATAACTGATAGTCAACCTGGCAAATCACCTATGTGAAAGCCTGGTGTCTAACCCGGCATAAACCTGGAATGAAACCTGGCAAATTCCCTATAAAAACCCTACCTGTTGGTTTTGTGGGTACAGTCAACCAACAAGAGCTCAGGAAACCTGGCGAACGTGGCTCGCATACGTCCCGTAGTCAGCGAAATAGTACCTGTCTCTCCGGAAGATGTATTGTGCACACTAACCACGTTGTCTTTGTCCTCTTCACCAAACTCCATAAGAAACTCTGCAACAGCCAAATCGTCGTCTGCTTCTCCACGCATTTCATTGTGAATCTTGATCAGGAGGTTAGCCACGTCCTTGCGCGTCACCTTGTAGCTTGACTAGTCACGAATGTACTCGTAAATGCGAAAACGTTTACCGCCTGCTCAAACCATCAGCCGGAGGTCTTCAATAATAGGCTCACACATCGGTATCTGCCGATTATGTGGATAGTTTTCGTACACCACTTCAGATAGCGCGTGGTTGTGCGTATATATAGGGTTCTTCACCTCTACAATCCACTTGCCCTTGACGAAAATACTCTCGACTGTGAATCGAAACGGACAGCCAGTACCACGAAGTCGGTACTGCTGCCGTTTTCCCATACCACGGCGCCGAGATTTCGCTCCATGGGTGCAAATATACCTGCGTCACCACCGTGGTAAGTCGTCAGGTAAGTAGCGGACGCCCCGGCCACTCTTCGCACGTTTGGACTCACGCAGCTGCTTGTTGCGCTTCGACACACTCTCTGCTTCTTGAACGACTAGATGCGCGATCTCCTCCTCGCAGTCTTCTTGAACGACTAGATGCGCGTTCTCCTCCTCGCAGTAATTAACGCGATACCTCTCCCAAGCGTCCCAGCTGGCGGGGAGCCGCTTCAGCTTCTTCCCTTCAAATGAATCTTCCTGGAGTAAGAGATCGTCGAGTGAGTCTCCGCTGCCCTCCTGAACTAACTGCGTGCCCTGGGCTAGCTGTGTCGGTCCGTGTCTTCATCATCGTCGCCTGAACTATCTTCTCCTCCACCGAACGTTGACACAGCCTCGTCGTCTTCGTAGGAGTCGTCGTCTTCACATTACACAGTTTCCGCTTCATTGTGGGCTTTCGGCGCAAATTGAGAAATGAGAGGCCAGGAGAACGTTGCACCGCCCACCGTTGTACAAAATCTTAAGATTTGATAGGGTAAGGGGAATCTTTGCACATCATTGTAATTTACTTTTTAATTACATTCTGGTCAATATCTTAGTCAGTACCCTGGTTATTTGTCGCACGGCTATGTGAAAACAACCTGGGCAGTAGATTTTTCGTTTAATTAGCTATAAAAACTCGCCTAGTGGCGAAATCAGCATTATTGTTGCTATGAGGCTACGCGTGCAAGTACGTTTTTGCTTCCGCTTACTTTGAAGGAACCGACGTCAGACTTTATTGAATGTGCAGTACTGGCACCTATACTGACTCAGTATAACTGAGGGGGGATATTTGTTTCACGTGTTTGAAGTATAAATCTATTTATGATAGATTAGTGTTTCCGTTCGGACAAGCCAAAAAAAAGTTAGCATTTTGCATCAATGGGACGACCAACGACAAGACTTTAGAGCGTTTAAGATCACACTGTATATTTGTAAAATGCAGTGTAATTGCATTTCGTAAAACAAACTTACTAATCGATTTGAACAGGTAAATATTTTCTTAGAGGGGTTTGTGTGGATAACACACATACCCCTCTAAGCTCGCTGGTTACATCCGACAAGTTGCCAAATAACGAATTACTTTGTTGGGAGTCAGCCTCCGCGGCTCCAATTTCATGTATAAAGGAGGAGGTTAGATGGGGTGGACAGCTTTAGCCGGCTGGACAGCCTAACCGATGTGGGCTTTAATTATTACCTGAGTCGATAGAGCCTTGGGGTACAAAATATTTAACGGACGTTCTGTGATAAGTGCTGCGTGATAGTTGTTAGGAAGCGTGATCACCCAATGCGAGAAGCCGCTCATTATTGAAGACAACTATCTCCAGCTCTTCACTCGTCAACGCCACTTTATCCAGAATACTCAGCAAGTTGGTCCAATAGCAATTCTTGTTGCTTTCGCTTGGACCCACTTGTCTTGGTTGTACATGCTGCAACAGCTCGTGACTTCTTTTCTCGATGTCCATGAAGCAATCGTCGTCTCTCTCAGCTGCATCCATTTATTGCCAACAGTAATGCTTGATATTACTATTTTTAACTCATAAATATTTGAATTACTGGTAATATTCACTTTTAAAAAAAACAAATGACCCTAAAGGTCACTCTTAGTTAGTTTTAGATATTTATATTGAGAAACGTCGTTTTGCCAAAATCGCTGTAAAGCACAATAAATTGTGTCCAGGGTACTATTTGGTAAAATCCGTTGTCTATAGGAGCAAAGCTCCAACCGTAAATTCAGTTTTCTGTCCGTTACTAGTTTCTAGGTGCCGGTGGTTTCTTGAATGTTGCCTATGAGTCGCCTGATCTAAGGCTTCATTTCGAGGAACTTGTTTCCAGTCGTCTCATTTCAAATTGCTTCCGGCGTGGTCCTCTGCCGCTATGGGCAAAAAGGGGTCGACGTCCAGCTTAAACACCTCCAACTTGTGCGCCAATCAGCACGATAATCCCTGGGCTGCACACGAACACCAGCGCTTTTTGTTGGCTCTGGAACAGTTCGGAGGAGGTCAATGTTCCAGTATCGGCCAAGCGTGGCAATCGATCACAACCGCAGTGGGAACTCGAGACACCGCTCAGGTGATATACCATGCTCGTCTCTATTTCGCTCAACTCCAGTACTTGAACATCCAGAAGCGACAGGAACAACAACTCATGCAACGGGTGGATCAGCGTTGGACTCAAGAAGAAGATGCAGCATTCGAAAACATGCTGGCAGCGTATAGCAGTACTTCAGTCTGCTATCCATGGGAAACCATGGCGTCTCGACTTCCGGGAAAGAGTCCAGTGGATCTCAAAGAGCGATTCCAGAAACTCTGCTACGACGTCGCAAGGATCGAGAACGGGCAGCACGTTACAATGCAGTTAGGCCAATTCCCTCGTCACCCGGAACTTCCATTGTCCTCAAAAGCTGCAGCTACTAGAGAAAGCGAGCGATTGTCACCACACATGTTCTCGCCTCGAGTCCTGGATAGTGTGATCACACTAACCCCCGCTGAAGAACAAATCATGGTAGACGCCATGGCTGAAGTGTTCGTGCCTCCTGAAGCTCCTGCAGATTTGTTGGCTGGGATCGCATCAGCTGTTGCTGCGTTTACAAGCTCGAACGGAAGAGTGCCACCTCAAAGAACGCACCCGTTGTTCACCAAAGAACAGACTCTTGAGGTGCTCAATGGACTGCTAGCAGCCCAGCAGACGGATGCGCAGATCGTGCTGGAAACGTTGGCAGCTCGGCTTCGACTACATCCACGAGCGCTAAATGTTTCGGCCGGTGTATCTTTTAGTAACAGTACGACAGAGTCGGAGAGTTCCGAGCCCAATTTACATCTACTAGCCACGACTGGACTCACGTTTGGAACGATGTTATCATCGCCACTCGCCGCGGAGTTGGGTGTACCATTTGAGAGTGCTGGCACAACACCAAGATGCCTCAGTAGCATGGGGCTTTTGTCACCGTCGCTTCGACCAGGTCAGGCGAAGAATGGGAGCTATGGTGCTAATTCTAATCCACCACCGCCACTGACACCCAGCACGCTGCGAAAAGCTTAACTCATTAAGCGCTGGATGTACAAAAACTCACAGCATTATCGCAATTGAATGGCTATAACAGCAACGTCTTACTTTTTTTATTTGTGCAGGCAACTAACTCCAGAGACCTAGCAACTTTGCCTGATCTTGAAACGCTTCAATACTTGTAGCCGGTGTCAGCGTCTTTGGTTGCGCTGGTGGGTGGTACGAGTTGGAATCTGAGGACCCCCTTTCCTTCCTTCGAGTCTTGGCCGCTCTCTTTTTCTGCTTGGCCTTAAGCGAGATCGAGTTGCTTTTTGCCTCGTCGAAACGAGGGCGTCGAGGAGGGGCAGCTCCGTATATTCCAGCGGCTGAGACAGCAGCTAGAAGAGCAGTTTGAGCGTCGATGATATTTTCATTCGCACCAAGAGATGACAACGACGACGTTGACGTTGAAGCTGAGAGACTGGCCAACTGCAGCGGAGGTCTGGTCTTTTTCTCAATCTTGTGCGGTTCACTGGTCAGTGTAAACTTTGACAAGCTTGGGGAGGATTGAGACCCAAGCATACTGCGAGTCTGACTATCGCCTTCTTTTCGCTTTCTTGTCGTGGCGTCTTTGAGTTTCCGTGCAACTTGAACTGCATGAGCTTTTCGTATCACCACACGAGAAAGTGGGGAGAGCGCGTAGCTAGGAGACATCGACGCTCCTACGCCTGTCTTGTGTCCATAAACTTTGTCGGATATTCGAGATACATCGCCGTGGTTCTGATTTCTCTTGATAAAACCAGCAATCCGGTCTTGCTCTTGATTTCCTGCATGCTCTGTCGGGGCGTCAGTCCAAGTATTCTCTTGTTCATCCTCGCGTTCCCCCGTGCCCATCATGAATGCTAAACTCTCTTCAGGGTCCACTTTATCAAAAAAAATCGCTTCTACGAGCTCATGATTTCCTTCGTCACGATGAGATGGTTGACTTGTTGTCTCGCTCTTCGGGTGTCTGGTAGGTGAACCGACTAGGTCAGCTGCAACGGCCGGCAATTGAGGTGGAGGTGGTGTACTAGCCGACAGTTTAGCCTCAAATTTCTGTTCATCCAACGCACTGTTTTGTGTGATTTGAATCGAAAAATTCGGCAATACAGCGAATTGTTTGTGTCTTTCTCCCCAAACAAGAGGCGGTCGACTCAATACTGCAGACTGTTGCTGACAGCTAGCACGGCGTAGCGCAGCCGTTTGACTTGACGAGAAGTCCAGCGATATGTTTAACAATGCCGACACGGCTCCAGATTCCACTCTCGGTGAGGGTCCAGATAAATTGGACAGAGCCAGAGTGCAGTGCTCACGTATAGTCTCGTTTTCCAGCTTGGCGAGTTGGATCAACGCTGGCATGGCTCCTTCCTCGACCATTTTAGCAGAATTTCTCTGTTCAGGGACGATCGTGAGGCTGCACAGCGCACCAGCACAGCACTGAAGGGCGCTTAACGAAGCGATCTTGGCTGCTCGATACGATTCGTTGACTAGCATCGGTGTGACGCCCAGATCGACCAGCTCTTTTCTGTAGTCAGATACAGACGACAATGCCCACAGACTGGCGGAACAGCGCCAACGGGTCTCAGGTAATTGACCCTCGCTTAATAGTAGTCCAATGGCATTTAGAACTCGGCTATCCACTAGAAATCGTGGCGGTTGGGGAGGTTGCAGGGACTCTCGGCGCTTACCAGGCATATGTTGATCTAGAGTAGACGTGAACACGATACTGCACAATGCATCAGCACAATCGAGCGCTGAATTAACGTCCTGTTTGGCCACAACTTGTTCAACGAGATTGCAGAATAGTTCGAGTGTCGGAGCTGGCTGGTCAGCAATTGCAGTAGCAAAGCCCGTGGCATGACTGAGCTGACGAAACAAGATGCACACAAGCGCCACAAACTCTTCATCGAAGGACAGATGTGCCTCGGTTGTTTCTGTACTGGTACATGATGTGAGAATGCCGTTCAGGTAGGCCACCACATTCTCCGTTAGCATCACTTCCAAGAGCTCAGTGCTGTTTGCCAGGCAGCAGAGGGTGAGTACACACGTCTTGATGGCCTCACAGGAATACGATACGAGCGTCTCCTCTCCACCGTTTGAGTGAATTTGCAGCATCTTCGCAAGTGCGCGAGGGATCTCGGAGGTCTGGAGGAACTTGCGAGTATTTTCATGCCACCCCAACCAACACAAAGTCGCTGCTGCATACACTGCACATTCAGACGCGGCACAATCGATCTTCGCAGCGTGAAGGTTTAGAAACTTCAATACAATTCCCAAGTTCGAGGACGACGCCACTGCTATCCGACTGTCTTCACTCTTCGCTAGCGTAAAGAAGACAAGCGCTAGAGCCTTCTGTGCACAATGGCTCCGATCAGTCGAATACTGCTCTTCATACACTGAAATCCGCTGAAGTGCATCCAGAATTCCAGCTTGGACACTAAGCATTCGCGAATTTTCATAGTACACGAGTTCACTTAGCAGGTTTTCATGTAGTGAGGCCAACTGTTTCTGCTCATCGGTCAGTTTGGGGGCTTCTAGGTCGTACGTCATCAGCTGGAAGAGAGCGTGGAGTGACGATCTCTCGGCACACAGAGCGGTCCTACCGACTGGATGATTCAATAGTTTACCAAAGATTATCGTCACGAACGTTGCCACTTGCTTCGAGCCAAGCCCAGAGTAAGCGGACAGGATTTTCACCAGTCCCTCCTTGACCATGCGCTTCACAGTCTCAGCATTCAGAAGGTTCAATAACGCTCGGATACACGTCTCCTTTGTAGAGACACTAACTGCTCGAACCATACTGACCATCATCAAGACGCTCACGGCTCCTTCTCCAACGAGAGCAGCTTCGTTCCCTCGAATACACGACAAGTTACACAGCACTTTGGCACAGTCGCGTTGACTGTCTTCGCTATACGAGTTACTGAGCACCGATACAATCGCGACAATCCCCGCAGAAGCCAAGGTTACTCGAATTTCTGGCTCCACCGACAGATTCGCGAGCGTGATGGCACAACAGCGTTGAATTGTGGCATTTTCCTTGATGTTTGCTAAAGTTGCTAGAACGGATATCACCCCCATCCGTACCAAAGCCATACAGCAACTTGGATGGCGCGACACACTTGCCAAAACATGGCAGCAAGAAGCTTTGCTCTCTTGGTCGTGAGACTCCACACAAGTGGCTAGGACCATCTCTATCGCACCCACTTCGACCATAATAAGGGAGCATTGTTCATCTCGACATAGCAGACTCAAGCACGAGCAGCAGTAGCGTTCAATAGTGACGCTAGAGTGCTCAAGAACGAGAATTCTCGTCACGCATTGCACCACTGCAGCATTGCACACGTGAGCTGCTGTGTGACTATCAGCCGCTAAACAGGCAAAGGCTGCAGTGCATCGAGCTCGAATTTCGCCCAAAACACCAGCAGATTCATCGACAACCACGTCGTTGTCGGTGCTGGAGAGGAAGAGAAGTGCAGGGATCACACCTGCATCGGTGACAGCAGCCCGAGTCGCTGCCTTGTCGCAAAGACCGTGTAGTGCCTTAGAGAAGAGATTTCGCGTCTCGTAGGACTGACCTGGCGCCATACTCAGCTGGATTAACGCAGTGATCGCCCCTGCAGTCACGATATCCGCTGCTGCCTTCTGCACACTTAACAAGTTACAGAGCGCTAAGATGCACATTTGCTTGGCTTCGTCTCCATTGGACCGCCTTGATATCCACGACAACGTGTTCACGGCATCTCGTTCCACTAATTTCGATCGGGAGTCCTCGCAACATGAAACATTGTACAATGTACGAGCGCACACCTGCAGAATTTCCTCGTCTTTTGTAGTCGAAGCGATAGTCTCCTCTTCAGGTATGGCAATCTGGCTTACGTCATCCTCCCGACACAGCTCGTTGACAAGCAACAATAACCCTTCTTGGACCATTCGTACGGCATTCCCGGGGTCTTTACTGAGGTTCCACAATGTGGTTCCGATCAAACACTTGGTCGTGGTAGCATTTGAAGCCCCTGCCAGCGCCACCAATGTGCCCATGCAGCCTTTCGCCACCATCTCGTTCCTGCAAGCCGGAAGTCGGGACAAATTGAGTAAAATATGTGCTAGAAGCTCCTGGATCGAAGGGATATTTGGATGCAGCAACGACGTGATGGCACTGACGATTCCTTCCTCCATTAGACGCAGTCGGATTCGTTTGAGGTTGGATAAGTTACACAGAGCTTTGGCCGTGACATCGTCGTATTCTTCCTCCGCTCTTGCAGCCAATCCACCGTTCCCACTGCCATTTCGCGTCGATGTGAGAGAGATAAACGCCTTTAAGACGATCTCGATCTTGTGGTAGGACTGCGAGACGCACGTGAGGTTGAATAATGCACAACGGCAAATGTGCGACACTTTTTCGTGTTCGTTGATCAGCGTCGACAAGGCACTCACAGCACCATCCTCGACCAAGAGTCCTTCTTCTCCCTGCAAGGAACACAAATTACACAACGTGATGGCACACGCTGTTCGAATGGTCTTGCCCTCGGTGTCGTTACCAATCTCTGCCACAGTCTTCACTGCCCCTTGCTGGACGATCACCCGCCTCAGGTCACAAAGATGCGATAGATTCATGAACGCAGTGACGCAATTCAGTCGCGTGGTCTTGTCGCCGTCCTTGCACAGTCGAATCAGCGCCTCCACCACATTTTCTTGGACCATCAGGCGTGCGTTTTCAGGATTAAAGCTCCAGTTGCTTAGCGTTAGCGAACACCGTTGTTGCTGTTTGCGTTGTACACTAGTCAATGTCGACCCCAGTTCTTCGTCGTCGTCTTCATTCCGATTTGCAAGGACAAGCACAGATCCTGCACGGCGAGAGGCGGTCGAGATGCTCAGCTTGCCCCCATTGCCCCCTCCAGCGACAGCAAACGCATCCGATACTCCGTCTTTCAGTACACTGCGCCCTTCCACTTTAGTGAGCTCCCCCCATGGAGGACTAGCCAAGTTAAACTCGATCTTTTGACCACTATGGACCATCGCCTGGTAGCTTCTCTTCATACGACTCATATAGAGCATGCCGTCAATGTAGTCACCGCGTGTACCGAATATATCACCGCCGTAAGGCTTCAAAGCTTGCGAGGAATACTCGGTGCCCGCACGTTTGCGTCCGTTCTTCCTGGCCAGAATCTGTGAAGATTTCGGGAATGTCTGCACTGAGGATTGAGAAACAAGCACTGGAGAAGGCGACGGAGCGTGGAGGGAGATTGCACTCGCTCGGGTCGACTGGTTCCGCACGGCTGGGCCTCGAAAAGATGAGGAAAACCCGACGCTATTGCTGGTGGTCGGAGCTGGCGAAGAGAGGCTAAGTTGTTGGGCTGGTTGAGGGACATATCGACGAACAGCTCGTTCCGCATATTCCGTTGCAAATTCATTGCTACCGAGAAGGTGGGAGGGGGGCTCGGTAGATAACGGGGCGGTGCTGGTGTCCACCATCAATTGGAACACTCGATCTTGCATGTGGTTTGTAGTCGACGATGTTGATGCCTTTTTCTTTGGCCCATGCTGAGACTTCACCGTCGGACTTGGAGCGACAACGGAGTGTCGGGTGCGTTTGCTACTTCCAGTCGACGCGTTGTTGCCATCGCTCTTTGCAGCAATGAAACTTGCCCTGGTGCCACCATTGGCGGGGAGGACTCCGAGGAGATGCAATTCCCCTGTGAGGCGAGACCTTTCGCGGTTCCAGAGCGCAGTCAAATCCATGGAAGCACCTAGAGACGCTTGTCTACTCTACCCTCCCACGCACTCTCGATACAATTGCAGCCACCTCAGGCAATAATAGAAGAGAGCTTTGCACATGAGGAAACGGCTATTGTCTTCTTAAGTTTTGGTGAGAATGTGAATTGCAATTATTGCGTTGTGGTTAAATTTTCGATTCTCTTTTATATGTATCTTCGTCGTCTCCCGAAATACTTCGTGTAATAAATTTAAGAAATAAATACCGGAGCGAGAACCTATTTTCATCTTCGAGAAATTCACTTTGCACTGTAAATAACCCAAAGCCTTGACAGTATCGTGTTGAGCGTTAGTTTTGAGTTCAAAATGTCGCCGCTGACGTCGCAGCCGTTGGGCGTCTCGCTACCGCCTCGAGATACGAACGCCATCTCCGTGTCCATGCCCGACTGGGAGCACGTCGTGGGCTACGAGGAAGGGCGAGCGGAGGTTCTGGATGCGATGGCCTGCGGCTACCCTCGCTTCTTCCGCCACCCGTTGGTCGTCTCGCTGGAGACCGCTACCCAGATCCAGATTTCTTGCGAGGACGATACCAGCCAATGGGAAGTCATGACAGTACCAACTTCTGACGCAGGCGAGCGTCTCCGCCACTTCCTATTGGCCAGCAATTCTGATTCTGTCAAGAGCGACGAGGTATCGGCTCATGCTGTCAAGAATGCTGTCCACGCCGTACGCTTCCCACGCCGCATCAGCCACACGGCCAAGCAGTTCTGGCAACACTCAGGAGAGATCGTGTCTTCACGTCACGCTGAGAAGCTGCTGCAGGTGCTCAAGAGCGATGGAGACGTGCAGAGTCCAGCGATTAGAGGCACGGACAGCCACTTGGCGCTCAGACAGCGCGTATCGGAGCTCTACCTGCCCTCTGCAGATGCTAAGAAAGTGGCTCTGTATCCGACAGGTATGGGCGCCATCTTCTCCACTGTTCGACTGCTGCAGAAGCTTCGAGGCACGGAATACAAGAGCATCTTGGTGGGATTTCCCTATGTTGACACGCTGAAGATTCTGTCGAGGAAAGAGTGGTGCCCCAAAGGAGTTCACTTCTTCTCTACTTGTGGAGAGGACGTGATGAAGCAGATTGAGGACATTGTAGCCAAGGAGAAGATTCTCGGCATCTGGACGGAGTTCCCTAGTAACCCTCTACTGTCCATGGCAGACCTCAAGAGACTGGCCAAATGTGCTCATGACAACGGCACGGTACTGGTCGTGGACGATACGGTGGGATCGTACAACGTCAATACGATGAAGCACGGCTGCGCTGACTTGGTAGCAACCAGTTTGTCGAAGATTTTCAGCGGCACCGGCAATGTCATGGGAGGCAGCGTGGTGCTGAACCATGAGAGTCCGAAATTTGAGGAGCTTGACGCGATTTTCGACCCTGAGGGCGACTCGTTCATCGTAGAAGATGACGTCGAGACTCTACTGGAACAGTCGAAGGACCTGAACGAGCGTCTTGCAAAGACGAACGCCACGACTGCTGAGATCGTCCAGAAACTGCAGAAGCATCCGCTGGTCAAGGACGTGTTCTACCCTACTCTGGGCGACGCAAAAACCCTGTACGATCCGTTCCTGAACGCGTCAGACGAGAAGGAAAAGCCTCGGTATGGCCCACTGTTCTCAGTCGTACTGCATGGCGGACTAAAGCCAGCTAAGGCTTTTTACAACGCGATTGCAGTGGCCAAGGGTCCGAGTCTGGGAACAAATTTTACGTTGTCATGTCCCTACACGCTGCTCGCGCACTTCGGCGAGCTGGACTTCGTGGAATCTTGCGGCGTGGACCGTAACCTCATTCGCATTTCCATCGGCCAGGAAGACGTGGACGTTCTCTGGGCTGATCTGGAACTGGCCTTAGCGGCTGCAAACGCCGTCGTCTCGACATCCAAGTAAGACGAGGCACGGATAGTCACTACCTACTTACGAGGACGCGACCTGCGCTGAGCGACCTACTTCAAGTATTACTTGCCGCTGGCTCATCTACTGCCATCAATGGAGAAAGAGGTGCTACCGACAGACTTGAGACTGCTCTCCGCGTGGCTTCCCATATTTTTAGTGGCATGGCACGGACGCTATTTTGATATGCCGAGGGGCTAATAAGTGACTTAATTGCAGTCCATTCTAGACATCTGAAGGTGTTGACAAGCTCGGAGGTTGGCTTCGTGTTTTAATATTCTCTTATTGCAGTGCAGGGGATGAGCCAAGCGGTCACCTCTACAGCGTCATGGTCGGCTGCGCAGTCGCGAGTCATTACGCCGAGATCGACGTCTGGTTCACGCTCTGTGTGGAACGAGGAAGGGGCTGACCTCAGCTCCAGTGGAAACAGCAGTCGCTATCGAGTGCTGGACGTTAACCAGAAGCAGCGCGAGACGGAAGATGCGGAGCGGATTATCAGCGACTTGGAGGCTCAGCGACGATATCGTACGCTAAATAGTCGGTCTAAGAGCTCTTCGAGACGACAAGAAGCTGTAGTTGTACCTATCCACAGTGAATCTCCACATGTACTTGACAAGTCAGCACGATTACAGGATTCTCGAGGCAGTGGCGGGCGCTTCTCGTTTGAAGAAACTTCTGCTGAAGGAGACGAGAGTCTGCCTGTGAGAGGAGACAACTATGCTGCCGACGCCGTCCCTCAGTCCTTTCAAGACCAGGTTTTGCATGAACTACGCAAGCTCAAGGAGTCCCAACGTATGGAATTTGAAGCTCTTGAGAGACTGCAGCGCGAGAAGGACGAGGCAGAGCGTAAAGCCTGCCGTCTAGAGCAGAAGCTACGAGAGCAACAGCGTCAATTATCTCGGAGCGAGGGGAAATCTATGCGTAGTGCTGAAACGCAAAAGCACATGACACGACCGGATATCGCTCTTAGTGAAGAATCGGATGAAGAGAACAACCGCGAGATCTACTCAAGCAGCAACGGAGATTTCTGCGAGAAGGGCGACTCTGAAGAAGACGAAGGGGATCTAGAACCGAGCGAATGGGACGATGTAACCAAGTCACCTCCACCGTACTTCATCCCAGTTGCTTCACCTGCGGTATGAGACCACGCTATCAGTCTGAATGATGATGACAAGAGCTAAACGTTTCACTTGTTTGTGTAGACGTCACCGTTCAAGCGCAGCTCTGGTTGGCCAGCATGGACTGGTGACGAATCGCTACCACCCGGACCGAGTTCGGAACCGCAAGGCAAGACAACGTACCAACGTTCTACCTCTATCTTTGCAGCGATGAGCTAACCTTCGCTGTTGTTTGCAGAATGGAACTCACGCGAACCGGAGAATCTCGATCGACGCTCTCGCTCTCGGAGCAAGTTGGACATGTCTGCATCGTCCAGGTCTCGCTCTTTGTCGAGATCACGATCAAGCACTGCCATGTCATCTCACGTGCAGCGCCTCAGTCAGAGTCGATCCCGCAGTCCTTCAGCCACGAGAACTCACCGAAGTGCTCAAGGCAGTCTGGAACTACGACGCTCGTGTGCTTTCTTTGAAGACAAAGCTCGTGCTCACGCTGAAGCTGAACAACTCGCAAAGGAGGCAGCTGAAAGGCTTGAACGAGCTCATCGGGCTGCACCCCCTCTGAATCTTTTGGAACGCGAAGCACAAGCTCAACAGCGTAAATCTCAGCATCATAAAGTGCTCGAACAGGAAGTCAAGGCTCGTCAGAAACGCGTAAAAGCTCGTGGAGTGCCGGTAACCACTTACTTGTCAGCCAACGAGGCTGACGAGGCTGAGCAGAAGCGCAAGGAGAGAATTCGACAACGAGCCGAAGAAATGATGCAGTCTGCTGAGCTGCCGCCAAGAATGGCAGTAGCCAGCAGAAATTCTTTTGAAGACACCCGGAGTGCGGAGGAAGACGAACGTTTGACTGTGAAGATGAAGAAGAAACTACGAGCTGCAGCTCAGGAAAAGGCCAGACGGCAGCGACACCGACCAAAGCCTGTGCCAAACTTCGACCAGCTGCATTCCAAGTGGGAAACTGCGCTGAAAAAACGGAAAGAGCTTGCGAGACGCAGCCAAGACGAGGAGGAAGTGAACGAGGACCCTGGAGCTTCGTCAAAGAAAAGTGCAGAGTTTTTCTCGTCACGAGCGGCAAAACTCGCTGAGCTGCAAGAGAAGAAAGAAGCGCGTAAACAGCGCCAAAAAGAGAAGGAAGAAGCCATTCAACGACACGCTAGACGAGCTCAAGAGAAGCTGTTAGCACGGACGCGTGCTTCACGAGGAGCCGCAGCTGGGAGTCAACGGAAGCCGACGAAATCCGAGACATTGCGAGTGCAGAAGCTGATGGCGGAAGCTGCTAAGCAAGAGAAAGAGAGACAACGGGAAGAACGAGAAGCAGATGCTCGAGAACGAAGACGCGAAGAAGCAGCACGTCGAGTGCGTGCCCAAGTCAAGCGATCGGAGACTGTCCGACGAGATAATTACGCTGGGAGCTTTGTGGAGTTAAAAGATCTGGACGTTGTCGCCAAGGAGAAAGCACGCGAACAACGGCAACAGTTCAAAGAGGCGATTGCGCGAAACAAGGAGAAACTCCTGGCAGCTGCAGCAACGCGTCCCAGCCTCATGGAGCGGTTCAGTACGAATGCCAAGCGAGAAACTCACCGTCGAGCAGCACTCGAAGCTGTCGTAAAGACGGTTTTCCAGAAAGATTTCTCCACGCTCAAAGGCGTATTGACCGACGATGAGCAAGAGCTCGCAAGTGCAATGATCGCTGCCGACGACGACGATAGGAGTGAGACTGCGTAAGTTTAAGACACGTAACTTTTATCACATGCATTTCTAAAATCCCTCAATCGATGAGGCTCTTGAGGAAGTCGTAGGTGGCGAATTGTACACCCATGTTGGGCATAGCTCGCACCAGAGTGGGTGTCAGACCTCTGTAGTACACTGTCCAGCCCTCGTTCCTCGCCAACTTGACGTAGCAGTCCCATGCGTTCTTGTATTGTCTGGCTGCTCCTCCTGCCCCCTGCATCTGCAGTCTTCGTCTCACGGTGTCGTTCGGGTAGGTGAAGATCGTGGCGAGCACTCCAGCTCCTCCTCCACACAGGATTTTACCCGCAAAGTCTGCCTTGGGGTCGATATCTCCAGGTAAATGACTTGTGAGAATGTCATAACTCCCAAACTTAATCCCTTCGTAGGGCAGCGCCCCAAAGAGTGTGGGGCCGATGCCGCGGAACAGAGCACGATATCCTTCCTCTCTCAATGTCCTCGTGAATGTATGGGCGATGCCACTGTAGACCAGATTCTCCCCAATTTGCCCCGACACCCGCGTACGGATGAGGTCCAACGGGTACGTTATGATAGACGCCGTGAAGCCCGACAAGGATCCGGACACGAATGGCCCCCATGCCGGCAGTTGTCCCGACGGGTCCATGGACCGGAACAGATCCTTGTAAAAGTCCGAAAAAGCGAAGAGAACCGCTTTATGAGGCACCACACGCACACAGGCCGCCATGTTGCCACGCCAGAAGCCCAGCACGCCCTCGCTCACGAAGATGCTGCGTGTCGTCTGCAACATTCCCACACTCTCGCCCGTCTGGCACACGATCTTGACTCGCTCGAATGGGGCCACGACTGTCTTGGCCACGATGCCAGCGCCTCCACCTGCCGCCATTTGCTTGAGCTGCTTGATGTTCCATTTGGGCGCATGCGTCGGCGCTGCTGCTGCCATAGTCGCCAACGGAAGGGAAGAAGTGAACTCTCCCGAAGCCGTCCAAACGCTGGATGCAGGGACGGGACTACTGATATTCAGCCCAGTTGGAAAACTTTCGTACATTTGCACACATGCGTCCATGTGGCAGCATAGCAACTTTCTTGCCCATACATGTATAATGTTCTTCTACAAATGTACTACTTGCTACTGCTGCTACTTCTCTTCGACTTAAGCCTTGACAGCATCTGAGCTCGCAGTTCGCAATTTTTTTATTCAGGAAAACAGAAAAAAAATCGGTAATAACAACGCACTCAAAAAACTGTAGTTCTGGTGAACATACTATGGGGTTGCCGAGCACTTGCCATTACGTCTTGAGCAAGGACACAATCCTAGCATTTTTTAGCCTGCACTGTTGCCACCGATAGCACTAATAGCCACCACGGTGGTGACCACCCTCTTTTTTGTTTTAAAATATCTGTGAAGCTTGCATGCGTTGGATTTTAGATAGATGTTTGCTATAAATGCATGTCTATTAATATGTTTTGTTCTCTGGATAAATAACTCGAGCTGAAGACTTTTCACTGTCGGATTCTGCCGAATGTGCGACTCCACCACTTGCCCACGCGCTGGAGGACGCCATTTCCATTAAAGGTCGTGACAGTCACCATCTCGTCACCGACTGTTGCTGGAGGACCGTTGAGCGGAACCGAGGCTCCTCCAACGACACGCGCGGCAGCTCCAGCGTTTTGGGCTCCTCGCTCTTCTTCTGAAGCATCGACGTCGGGAGATACCGCTAGACTGACGATCTGGATGGGTTCCGCAGTACGAAGATTGTTGGTTGTCGACGTGGCGCCGCAATTAGCAGCATTGGCAAAGTCGCCTCTGCTCGACAGCAAAACAAATATGATCGCGAGGATGAATTGGGCCAGCTGCATTCTTCGTAGAAGGTTGTAAAATGTGAATGAAGGTACCCGTGATGCGACGCAAATTGTGGAATGGCTCCTTAGGACTTGACTCACGAAAGTAGCCACCTTTGGAACGATGCATGTCCTTTGACTGGCGCCACCACCAGAGTAATCACACCGAGAAACTGGTTCTCGAGTGAAAGCTTCTCCTTTCGTTGGCTGGCAGGTGGCCGTCGTGGCAGTAATCATGAACATCCTTACTGGATGTGCAAAGTGCGACTCGAACAATGTTCAGTATGGCACAGTACATTGTACTGCATTGTGCAGTGCACACGAACGGGATTACCTTGTCACATGCGCGTTGATGGCCAACATAGCGCGCTGCACAGTGTGGCTGCCAAAGGGAGAAAGGAATCTACCGTGCCTGTATTTACTTAAGAGGCTAATAAAAAGGCTTGTTATTTCTAACTCGACTCCAGGGCTTCCACAGACATGCCTTCCAAACATTCTGAATTGATTGGTGCACCAAATGAGGTTTTATAAAAAAAACCTAAAATAAGGTTATACAGTACGACCAAAGTGTTTTTGCGACAAATTCGTACAAACCAAAGTAGGGCGTATTGCTAACATGTATTCCAATTATCGTACAGAAACACCAAAACTGTGATCTCGTCACCGTAAGACTGGAAGCACCACCCATTTTGAATGCAGAACACCACAACTATTAATACACCTTTGCCAGTCCTAGCTGGCAGCAGTGTAAAACAAAAGAGACTGTAATTTAAAAAAAATGAAATACCAAAAAACAGTCTATACCAATGTGGATTTAGTGTAAGGCAAACAATGTGTGTGGAGGGATATGGCAAGTTCTACGGTGGTACTCGGGCGGAAGCACACGCCTTAAGCCTAAAAAGGCAGCTTCTTGTACTACGTAGTATATTGTCTATCGCCACGAGCGCGAGCGCTGCGGTTGGAAGCGGACGAAGGCTCCGTCTGGTAGTGGAAATCACATGGCATTGCTTGCTTTTTTGATACCATCCAGACCCTTGTACAGGTGCCTGTAATCTCGCAGCAATCTTCAAGACGCTCGTCGATGTAATCTTCTTGACGTCCCCGACTAATTGCTCAGGCCAAACCGGCCCCAACACGGCAATCGATGGCAAGCCAGTCGCCGAGCAGCCGTTCCTGCTATTCTTGAGACGCGAGCTCACCGCTGTAGCCCGTCCGTTCCAGTCCGCAGCACGCCCGTGTGGTGCTGGAAATCCCACATGAGCTCTAGCTACAAATATAGTTAGGAAGCTCCCACAACAATTCGTCTGCTAGGATAGCAAACGATCGTTCGGGCGGACCTGAAGACCCCAGTTCTTCCCTTGCACCGAGACAGACTGGACCTTGTAAACTACTTATATAGGCCAACCAGTAAAAATAAGAACACGCTACTAGCACGAGCAAAGCTAATAGGTGTTATGAATCCTCGTGGTCCCAACAGCGGAAGGGTATCAAGCACGGGTAAACATTTTACGAGGGCACCGAGTGTTCAACACTCGGTTGGAAGAATAAAAGGGATGCAGTACAAGCACTCCCAGTCGTGCAAATAGGCAACAATAAGCCGTCACGTAAAACCTCCCGATAGTAATCGGCCAAAACTCACAGTCTCTTGGCCTTTCCGGATGAACCCTCGCTACAGAGCTTCGAGTTCACCGACAGGCATAACACATTCAAACAAGCTTGACCTGACGCTTACCTTGAAGCCGGACGTCGCTCTGTGCGCTTGAGTGGAAATTCTGTTCTGTAATCATGTTTGCCCTTTCGGGCCTATTCCGAATAAGAAGTCCTAATTATGTTTACAAATATGAAGTGAGCTATGATCCGTTATGGATCTTCTTGCACACCAAGCGTCATTTGCACCGTCGCATGAGCATCTTTAACAGCTCGCGCCCTGTCCCAGATGGTGAACGTGCCTTTAAAGAGTCGCGGAGTATTTCACGAATTCATCCAACCGCCACCAAGGGTTCATACCATAGATAGTCAGTTCTTGGCCGTTGAATGCGAATCCGGCCAGCCCATTATAATTAAGGACAGCCTGGATTGAGTGACATCTGGACCGTATCCAATATCCGTTGAGTGTTTGGTAGTGACACCGTCGAGTCTCTTGCACCTATGAGTCACCGTACATCACGTGACCGAGGGTTCGTCGCTGGAACCTCTTCGACGGTGTCGCATCTTTGTTGACGGGCGATTATCCGCAACTCTGGCGAAATCACTACACCACAACTGCCCCTGTCGCAATGGAAGCCACGGTACTGGTGCCCGTTGTGACATTCTTCATTCTCCGATTCACCATCAAGCCATAAGATGTCCGAGCGTCTCAATAGAGCCGTGACTTAAGCGTTCCAGTGTCTCCAACCCCGCCGACGACGTGAACGTGAGCAGCTGGAGGTAAGTCAGCGCATCTTTCCTGTGAATCATCGGTACCTTGCTCATCACCATGTAACCCTCGTCTTGTTTCACAGGTGGGCAGCACCGAGGTATCGAACGACCCTCCGTGTGCCCCACCTACTTCGACGGCAGCTTCTCCAGATGGAACTCCAGCACTTCCTGTTCTGGACCCTTCACCTCCTGCTGTAGCTCCTGCAGCACTTCCTGTTGTCGCTGAATTAACGGAGATGGCACCTACTGATCCGCTTGCGCCTGCTGGTGGTCCTCCACTACTCACCGAGGATTCGTTGCGCGCCATACTGGCTGAGAGTACGGAGGCGTCAGTCGATCACAAGGTGACGTCAATTATTCCTTACTTGGCCGCGATGGCTCGTCATCAGGTGCAGCTCAACGTTGCGCCTCCTCTTCATGACAATGTCTGCACACAACGTCGTCTCGAGACTGCGATGGGCTTCAACGATGTTCTCGCTGCCGTACAGCCTCTTCCTGATGCGCTAATGGACATGCCTGACCGAGTCGCTCTTCTGGAGCGTCAGTTATGAGCTGCACAGACCGAAACTGCTGCCGCCGTACGCTCGGTGGCACCCGAAATCATGGCTCGGGAGAACGCGGAGGCGTTCCTGAAGGCTGCTAACGCTGAAGTCGAAGCTCTTTGTATGGACATCAAGATTATTCGCGAGTCCAATACCAAGAACGATGCCATGCTTTCGAGTGTACAGCCTTCCATGGAACAGCACTCAGAAGAGCTGAAGCGCCTGCACTGCGAAATCCAAGCGCGGGACGCGTTCATTACCACCCTGAACAAGAAGTTGGCTAGAGAACGCGAGGTGTACAAGTCTTCAATTGGCGCAAACACTGGGCAAACTCGCCAGCTTCATATTCTCTTGGTCAAGCTCTCCAAAGGGAAGTACATCGATAATGACACGCCCAAGGTCCTCGAGAACCAGCAGACTCGGAGCACTCACCTTCTCCAAGTCAACCGTACTCTCCGCGCACACGTAAGTTTGGCCAGGATGGATCCAGAAGTCCTGTGTCTGGCTGTTGATGGTACGTTCCACAGAGAGTTCTTTCTACCGTGGGTTCAGCAGCAAACGTTCGTTCGCACTCTCTTGTGACAGGTCCCACCGCAGGTGAGCTGGATCTGGATGCTCTGGACTTGGACCAAGATATGTTGGATACTTTGCAGCGTTTACAGCCTGCTGCTGGGTCTTTCGCCCGACTCCCAGGCTCTTCATGCAGCCTTAGCGCAAGCTGCTCACCAAGTGGATCATGGGAAGCTTCTCAAACGATTTCGACCAGGTGGCAAAGTGTCGGACTACGAGTCGGACGACTCCGACGAAGATAAGGCTCCCATCCCGACCGCCAAGGCCATTACGTTTATGGCAGCCGCTGGTCTCGGTGATGCACCACCTACCGAGCCTTCAACTCCCAAAACTTCACGTCGCTCGCTATTTAGTCCGAAGGTGTGGAAGCAGGCCGCTCAGAAGAAACGCCAGAAGACTCGCCTTCGCTCTCCTGGCAAGTCGCCTCGACGTCACTCGAAGGATCGGTCGCGGTCTGTGCCATTGTCTCCTCGCTGATTGTGGCCACCTCGCAAGCCAGCGTCATCATCTACTGCACCGCGTTCTCCACCTCCGCGTCAGCCGACTCTCGCTGTTGTCAATCTCAGTGGTG